GGGTTTGATTGAAGGTTAATTATTGTAACCCCAGAAGCTAGGACTAATGATCCATGAATGGCAGTTTATATCCCAATGATTTCAACTAATTGGAATAAGCAGAAGAGTAATAATGAGCATAAAACTACAGTAATGTCATAAACAACAACAACAAGTGTATGTGAGTAATGTCATAAAACCCATCTGGTTTACGAATGTCCTTTAGAGCAGAAAATCTGACATCCTTACCCGGTCCATTCTATATGTGACTCCAGACCCACAACAATTTGGGTGACTCTCAACTTTCTCTGAAATAACCTGGCATCCACTGAATTATATTCAAGGTCACAGCTCACCACTTTCTCAGTGTCAAAATGGGAATGGTCATTAAATGCAGGCTTTGACAGTGATGCCTGCATCCAGTGAATAAGAGAAATGTATTTCCTGACTTCAAACTTTCTCATCCTTGAAAAAAAAAGCACCAACAACAAAAGAAGGCCTACAGATGTTGGAAATTATCGAAAGCTGCAAACACACTATTTTCACTTTCTTAACTAATTTCCTGAGCTGCTCATGTGGTTCCTGCCACAGGTTTGGCATTAGGTTCTGGAACGACTAACCTTGGATCTTCTATCAGTTTCGTGATGTTACCAGATTGTGGTAAAGTTCATTTAAGGCATTTAAGATGGAGTTTCTTTTTTAACTTAAAGAAAAGGAAGGAGTTGAGAGACATTCATAAAATATTAAAAACATATTTCTCTCATTGAGATGTCACCAAAACTCTGCAGATTCTAACTGCAAAATCTACATGCCACATAAATTGGCTTCATGTTGCTGCTGAATTAGGCAGGGCCCTGTCAGAAATATTCTTAACTACCAAGAGATGGAAAATCCATGTTGATGCCATGTTTCACATTGCTCAACTTTTACATCCTGCAGTTGTTTTATTTACCCTTTCCCTTCTTGCACAACCTGACTCTCAGTCATAATAGCAAAGAAGGAGACTATTCAGCCAATTCAGTTCATGCTGGCCTTTATATAGAACAACCCAGTCAGTCCCACGCTCTGGAGCCCTGAAAATTGATTTTCCTCTTGTGACCATCCAATTTCGTCTTAAAATAATTCATCATCTCTGCTTGCACCACTTTGTTCCAGATCATTACAATTTCCTCCCTAAAAACAGTTCTTCCTCATATTCCCCTGGGTCCAGGCAATTAAATTATTGGCTACAACTCAAAAATGAATTAGCAAAATGAAACAGGAAGTACACCACATAGGAAATGTTGCACTCACTGCCTGATTGAGAGGACATCAGGGGATGGGATGCCTGAGGCAAGCCACCTTGCTTCCAACCGTGAGGTCAACATGAAGATCCCATCTTCTCAAACTCATCTCTTGCCTGAGGTATGGTGGCAACTCACTATCAGTTGTCTCTCTCTCTCTCTCTCTGATGAGAGAGCAGCTCTGTGGTCCTCTGGGGCTTTGGCAACTACTACTACCCATCGGAGGATATAATTTCCTTGGAAATGGTGCAACAATAGTTTACTGATTTGATTCCTGAGATTAGGGGGTTGTCGTAGGAGGGGGAGAGAATAGAAAGGCTTTCCATTCCCTGGGGCTTGGGAGAATGGGAAGCGATCTCATGGAACTCATGGAAGGGCTTCATAGGATAGATGTTGAGAGGTTGCTGCCATGGCTGAGAAGCCTAGAACACAGGCGTCACAGACTCCGGTTAAAGGGTCAGCCTTTTAGGACTGAAGGAATAGAAATTTCTTCAGAGAGTTTTATAATCTTTGGAATCCTCCAACCCAGTTGGAATTGATGTTCAGTTGTTCAAACATCGTCAGAATAATAATTGATACAAATTACAAAATACTTAAGGGGTATGGGGATAAGGCAGGAATGTAGACATGATGGAAAAGGCCAGCAATGATTTTATTGACTGGAACAAGCATGTTCAGTAGGCCATATGGCTTAGTACTGAAGCTTTCCTGAGGAAGAAAGCTGTACATCTATGTTTACCAATGGCATAGTCATCAAGCTGCATTAAGTAACAGAGACTGGTGCATAAAATTACAAAGTGACATTGGTAGGTTAAGTGAAGGGGCAAAACTAGCAGATGAATTTCAATGCAGGCCAGTGTGAGGTCATTTATTGCAGAACAAAAAAGTATTCATCTGAGTGTTAATGATATAGTTAAGAAGCTATAAAGAGTGTAGGTCCAAAGAGGTCCATGTACACAGATCCCTAAAATATCAGACCCAAAAATAATCATTGTCTTAAATGGAATGTCAGACCTTATATCCAGAGGCCTAAAACATAAAAGGGAAGGAATTTTTGCTGAAGTTATACAAAACTTTGGTTACAGCACACTCCATGATAAGTGCTTCTCTCTGCATCTTAGAAAAGGGTACATTGGTCAAAACAGTGCAGTGCAGATTCACCAAAATGTTACCAATGTTCCAAGGGTTAAATTAAGAGGAAGTATTATGTAAACTAGGCTTCTTCCCTGAATGCAAAAGTTTAATGGGTGAGTTGATTGTGGATTTTAGAATCTTGAAAGGAATTGACTGGGAAACTGCTTCTGCTGATGATGAGGCGTTTTGGGCAAAAGGTATGAACTTAATCGCAGAGCCAGGGGAGAAGTTAGGATACATTGCTTTGCAGAAAGGGTGAGAAGTGTAATAATGAACACAGGTAATAATGAACACTTGATGCCACCTCAATTAATTACTTAAGTCTGAGATGGAAAGCTGCTTGCTCGCCAAAAGTTATGGAAGTAAGGCAAGTGGAAATAAAAAGCTGCCATATTTCACTGAATGATGGAACAGGCTTGAGAGGCTAAATGGCCTCTGCCTGTTCCTATCCGGAGGCCAGATGTGAATGGTTGAACTGGGCTAATTCACAGCAAATGGACATTCAGGGCAATAATTCTGAGCTGACTCTCCTAATTTACTGAGTGCAGTTTGTCTTTGAGTAATAACAAAAAAATGAGAAAATGCTGCAGTTCCCCACATCAGTGGCTACCATGGTTTAATCCTGCCTCCTAAACTTCTGAAGGCAAGATACCACAAATCCTAACTATCTAGGCTGTACCCATCCATTAAAAACAGTGGCAGGGTAGGGTTTGCTGAATTACAGAGCAAAATGTTTATTTTTATTGAGCCTTGCAGAACCTCAGGACATCTCAAAGTGTTTACAGTCGATAAAGTGTGATTGAAGTGCATTGACTGTTGTAGCGGAGGGAATGTGGAGGCCTATCTGCACACAGCAAGATGCCACAGGCACCAATGTGAGAGCAAAGGCAAAAGACTATTCATCCTGGGTATAGAAATATTAGGGCGGCATGGTGGCTCAGTGGTTAGCACTGCTGCCTCACAGCGTCAGGGACCCAGGTTTGATTCCACCCTCAGGTGACTGTGTGGAGTTTGGACATTCTCCCCGTGTCTGCGTGGGTTTCCTCTGGGTGCCCCGGTTTCTTCCCACAGTCCAAAGATGTGCAGGGTAGGTGGATTGGCCATGCTAAATTGCCCATAGTGTTCAGGGATGTGTAGATTAGGTGGGTTATGAGGGATGCTTTGATGGGCGGTGTGGACTTGTTGGGCTGAAGGGCCTGTTTCCACACCATAGGAATTCGATTCTATGATTCATAAACAGAAAACTCCAGAAACATTCAACATGTCCAGCAGCATCCATGAAAAGATGAAAGGGCAAAGACAAGAGGATGAGAACGAATGGGCGCATTTCTAACTCATTCAAAAACACCCATTTATGGATTTAAAGTTGCATAAAAGGCTCCAGATGTAACTAATTGGGCTGAAGCAGTGTTTTTCTCCACAGCTACTGCCTGAGTAATATTTCGGCATTATGTCCCCGCCTGGCTGAGCCTAGCAGAAGGTTTACGCTTGTAGCCTTCTGTAATTGTCTCATTGTAGCTACATTACTTTCCCTATTCAACGAAATCCTGAATGCAGAAAGACAATCTCATCAAACCAGCTTGGTAATTACCCCACTAATCTCAAAATTTATAGAAGTCTTTTTTACTAGATGATATCCCTAAATCAAGTATGTCAGGTTACGGGAATTGAAAACTTGGGAATGAGGTGATGGTGATGCTGGTGGTGGTGGCTGGGGTCATCAGGGATGAATAATGTCTTCTGGTAGCTGCTTTCATAACCAATGCAAAACTTGGTAGGGAGGTTAAAGGACCACACCATGGAGTAAAGTCTCAAAGCATCGCTCACAGTTGCATTGAGAAAAGGAAAACCACTCACTTTTCAGTAACTGAAGTATCCCATCAAATTCTAATCAATAGAAATTACTGTCCTTTGAACTTAACCCCTGGAGGTTCAGTATTACTCATTAGCGGTTTGAGCATCAGCGCTTCCCTTTTGTCAGCATAGCAACTGCAAAAGGGGAAAGAGTATCAAACAAAGCCAAGCACCAAGACACACATGAAGAGATATTTGAAGGAGAATTGACTTTTAAATAGTATGTTAAGGAGGAGAGAAATTTGGAAGGGCACAGGGAGGAATTCCCAGACATTAGGGCTCAAAAAGCTGAGGCTACAGCATCCAATAATAAAGCAATGAGAACTGAGGTTGTGCAAGAGGCCAGAAGAAGAAGAATATTGAGATCTTAAAGGTTTGAGGGCTGCAGGATGTTACAGAGATAGAATAAGATTGATATCATGGAGGGGCTTGTGTACACGAGAAAAGCTATGTTCAAGTTGATGCATTGCTGGACTGTGAGCCAAGAGACAATCAGCTAAATGGAGTTTGGCAAAATTAATGTACAGAGTTATGTGTGAGCTCATGTTTGCAGAAGGTGGAAGGTTGGGGAAGTGGAATATTGGAGGAGTCAGGTGTAAATGGAACAAAACATGGATAATGAAATCAGGAGTAGGTGAGCTGAGGCAGAAATCCCAAATATTTAACAGCTTAAGTCAATGTTTTTCTAGATTCTTTACTTGACAATAGTTAATTAGAAGAGCAAGCTATCTGCTTGCACACAGCAGGTACCTTGGATTTGTCTGTTACGTTCCTTACACCTATACTAGCAATTTTCCAGCTGTCAGATGATTCATTTGCAGACCAGAGCAGAAAATCAAAGCTGTTTCCTTCTGGTCGAAAGTACATATTCAGTCTTCCAGGATCTGTGCCAGTTATCTGATATACAAGCCTCACACAGCTTTCTCCCAGAGCTCGCAGTTCAGGACTGGTAAGGAGGCCCAATTTTCCATCATGACGATGTGAGCCTTCAATATAGATATAGCGACCTGAAAAACAAGGAGAACACTGACAGTCACTGAACTTTGGAGCAGCAACAGACTTACACATTTTACCAAAATGTTAATTTCAGCCTTGACAGGAGAAATACCTCTCCCTGCCCCACCCCACACAAACCTCCCTCCATGGGGGTCAATGCAACATTGAAATGACAAAAGGCAGACAAAATTATGGCAGTCTAGGGAAATGTTTAAAAATCTGTAGAGTTGCTCCTCAGTGGTGCTGATATTTTCAACACACTTTGCCCAAAACTGCAGAACACAGCAAGAAGGAACACGGTATTTTATTTTCAATAAATGAATCACCATGATTAATTGCACTTATATCCAGCTGTCTGAACAGGCTCTTCAAATTAAGTGTTTTTTTTGTGCGTAATGCCACAGGTAGGCATCTTTTAAATTGTTTTGAGGTTTTTTTTTAATTTAAAGAAAACTGACTACACTTCAATATCCCCAATAAATGCTTCTGTATGTTTTTCAAACCTTTCTAAGGGATTTAAAATTCTGTTATTTATGAGTGTGGCCTAGACATTAATTAAAAATGCTGAGTTTTTTTGTAATAAACCCATTTCCAACTGTTTAATTAAACTGCATCAAGCTATCACTTTTAGATATGGCAAGCATTATGTTTCAAAGCAATTCTTTTTTAAAAGAAATTACATTATAAGACATTGCCTGATTGAGCTAGTCCATGGCAGGTTTGATTAGACTCAAGTAAATTGGAGCAGAAGCTTGAGAAATGATGCTTTCAGAGAACAGATACAATTCTGGATGCAACTCATATCCCGATTGCGGATTGTGCTCAATGCAGAAACCCAACTTGCTGAGTGCCGTATGCCAAGCGCTTCTGGCTAATGGCAGCCTGCTTATTCAGCACCTCATTTGCTACCTTAAATCCTCATTACATCCCCCAGCACTGTGCAATGGCAGCAGTGTGTACCATCTACAAGTTGCACTGCAGCTACTCACCAAAGCACCTTTCAAACTCTTATCTAGAATGTCTTACCATCTCGCTTTCAGGGCTGATGCTGTTTGCAACAGTCATCTCATGCTAGGTGGTTTAGGCTGGGATACTCCTGTAACTTTATCTTTTAAATTTTGTATATGTACAGTATGTGCCTCCTGGCAGCCAGCTTGTTAAACCTTAGCAGCATCCTTCCACCCCCACGCCAAAGTGTTCCAGGAATCTTTTGACAGGAAGTTGTTCACTCTGCCTCTGCCACCTGAACAGTCTGTGAAGATTTAAATTATATAGCACCAGGGTGTTCTAGTCCATTTTTAAATCAGCTCAAAACTGTGTCCATGGGACTCAACGGGCGAATGGAAACTGTTCTAATGCTTTTCAGTTTTTACTGTTTCTATATATATATAAAACAGAGACATGCAGCTACGCATAAGTCAAGAATTTTATGTTAAACCTTTAGAAATCGCCAGTCAGACCTAAGCTGCAATACTGTGGGCACCGCACGCTAGGGAGGACTTCAGGCCCTTGGAGAATGTGCACAGGAAATTTACTGGAATTATGTCAGGTTTGAGGAAATGTTGTTGTGCAGAGTAAACTAGAGAAGCTGAGATTTTCTCTTTACAGCAGAGAAAATTCAGTGGAAAAGTATTACAATCATTATTATTGTTATGATCACAATCATAAGCAGTTGTGCTAGGGTAAAAAAAAGGACTTCTTTCTAAGGCAGGAGGGTCAGGAAGCAGATTGATTGGCACAAGAAAGGAGCTGAAGAAACCATTTTTTATGAAGCAAGATGTTGTGATCTGGAATACACTGCCTGAAATGTTTGGATAAGAAGTTTTAGCAATAACTTTCAAAGGGGGAATTAGATAAATACTCAAAGGGATGAAAATAATAGGGCTACAGGGAAAGAGCAGACGAGTGTGACTATTCGAATAGCACTTTCAAAGAGGTGGCACACATACAATGGGCTGAATGGCCTTCTTCTGTGCTGTATCATTCTATAAGCTCCCAATGCTCACATCCCTCATCTTGCTGAAAACAAAACTCACCTAATCTACCTATTCCTACTGTGACTTTATAGCTACAAAGTTTATCTTAGCTTAGCATGTTTCATGTACAGTAGTAAGATGGCCTGAGGAATGTTATTAGACAAAATAAATTCCAGGATTTATATTTGTAATCATTTGATATCTTTGTCACCCTAGATATCTGAGATGGTCACAAACACCCTCTCTGGAGTGGGGGAGAGAGAGACCTGAAGTAGTTGAATACCTAATAATAGAAACAGCAACATAGAATGTTCTGATAACATGGGTTCAAATCCCACCAGGACAAACAATGAGATTTGAATTCAATAAAATTACGGAAGTAAAATGCTGATGGTGTTACCACTGTCAATTACTGTTAAAAAAAAAACTCATCCATTCACTAAATTTGCCATCCTTACCGATCTGACCTACACATGACTCCAGATCCACAGCAATCTTTTTTTCACTCTGAATTGCCCATAGGACAGTTAGGGATGGGCAACAAATGCTGGCCTAGTCAGAAAATCCAACACTCCATGAATGAACAATAAAAAAGAAGTGATCCACTAGGAATATAATTCGATATTAATGACTGTTTCATTTTGTAACTCACTTCTGCTTGAAATAACCATTTACTAACATCAAATAGCTCAGGAGTTGTAATTTCTAGGTCCAGCCAAACACCTTACCATTTATGAGGTTTAAAAATGAGAGGGCTCCCATTTGGAATTGAGATTAGAAGAATTATTTTTCACTCAGAGGGTTGTGAGTCTGTGGAATTCACTTCCCTGAACAGTCGTCGAAGTTGGGTGATTGAACATGTTTAGGGGTGAGTTGGATAGATTTTTATAAATGAATGAATCAAGGACTATGGGAAAGGAGACTGGAAAGTGGAGTTGAGGTCACAATCAGACCAAATATGATCTTATGAAATGGTGAAGCAGATTTGAGGTCCAAATAGCCTGCTCTTGCTGATAATTCCTGTGAGCTATGACAACACAGACATGTTATTGGGTGAATAGCCCAGAGGCATGGGCTAACCATCTAGGATCACAAGTTCAAATCCCAGCGTGGCAGCTAGAAAGTTTAAATTCTGTTAAATAAAATTAAACATCAATCTGGATTTGAAAATTCAGTTAATGGTGACCAGGGAACCCCATTTGCTTCAGTAATGGCCACGATGGAAGGAAATCTGCCCTTTGTACCTGGTCTGGACTACAGGTAACTTCAGACCCCAACAATGTGGTTGACTCTTTAACTACCTTACTCAGACAGAAAGTGGTAAAGTGGTAGTATCAGTGACTAGCAACCTAATGACATAGGCTAATGTGCTGGGGAACATGGGTTCAAATCACACCACACCCTACATTTGGGATACAAAGTTAGTCTCAAATGACTATTGATTCACACAAAACCTCCTCTGCTTCTCCAATGTCCTTCAGGAATGGAAATCTGTTGTTTTTACCCAGTCTGGCCTACTTGTGACCTCCGAGCCATTACAACGTAGTGGACTTTAAACAGCCCTCTGAATGGCCTTGCACACGAAGGGCAATTAGGGATGGGCAAGAAATGTTGGCCTTGCCATCAAGGCCTCCACCTCATGAGAGAATAAAGTAAAACATTGACCTGGTGAGCAGCTGTATGCAAGAAGGCAGCTCAACATCAGCAATCAGGGATGGGCAATAAATGCTGGCCTTGCCAGGGATTCCCATAACCCAAGAATGAATTTTTAAAAACACGATAATTTATTTCAGCTGACCATTCATGTGTGTCAGACAATATCTCTAAGCTCATTGTTTCTGCAATCCATCAAATTGCCCATCTCTAAAATCTGCAAGAAGACTTGGCAAAAAAGTTGCTTAAAATATACTGGTTGACACAACCCCAGAAAGCATTGCCTAGAACCATAAACACAAGAGGAAGTGTTGACAGGTTGGCTGTGATTTAACATAGTGAGAATAAGCAATGCCAATTCACTAAACCTTCACTAAACTAGTAGAGTGGGATCAACACTGGAGTTTATAAATATTGCCAGCCAGTCCAAAAACCAAGTGATGTGTAGATTAACTCTCAGCTTCCTTTGTCAATAAAAGCTGATGGGGTTAAATAGCTGCAAAAAGAGTAAACTGTGTCGAACAACTGATGTTTCTGATTTAGACGCAACTACTGTTTCTTTTATTGAGCCACAAAGGCGTGAAAGCCTGAAAGAGACAGGGGGACGGAGAGAGAGAGAGAGAGAGAGGTGGGGGGAACCACAGAGACAGCGGGGGAGAGAGAGAGAGAGAAAGAGGGAAAGGAGTACAGAGAGAAAGGGAAGGATGAAAGAGAGCGAGGAGCACACAGCAGGGTGGACAGAGAGAAAGACACACGCACACACACACACACACGTTTCAGTTACAAAATTAGAGGTCTTGCCAATGCAAATAGTTTACATAGACTGGCACCAAATAAAGAGACTCAGTGAAGATGCAATAAAGACCTGCATTTAGATATAATCCTGACTGTAGTAAAATAGAACATAGAACATAGAACATTACAGCGCAGTACAGGCCCTTCGGCCCTCGATGTTGCGCGACCTGTGAAACCAATCTGAAGCCCTTCTAACCTAAACTATTCCATTATCATCCATATGTTTATCCAATGACCATTTAAATGCCCTTAAAGTGGACGAGTCAACTATTTTTGCAGGCAGGGCATTCCACGCCCTTACTACTCTCTGAGTAAAGAACCTACTTCTGACGTCTGTCCTATATCTATCACCCCTCAATTTAAAGCTATGTCCCCTCGTGCTAGCCATCACCATCCGAGGAAAAAGGCTCCCACTGTCCACCCTATCTAATCCTCTGATCATCTTGTATGTCTCTATCAAGTCACCTCTTAACCTTCTTCTCTCTAACGAAAACAGCCTCAAGACCCTCAGCCTTTCCTCATAAGACCTTCCCTCCATACCAGGCAACATCCTGGTAAATCTCCTCTGCACCCTTTCCAATGCTTCC